AGCAATCTCTGCTCTGTAGTCTAGTACTCTGAGTGTGACATTAGAAACCAACCATTCCTGTGTTCTAATCCTACATGTTACACTGACTACCTCTGCAGCTCTAGGCAAATTATTTCACCTCTCTGCCTTATTTTTCCCGTCTGCAAAAGAAGAAGAATCATGCTATTTGCCTGGTTCAAAAGGGAACTGACTGATTTAATTAGCTTTGAAGTTGGAAAATGCCATGTAAATACTCAATATTATTTCAGCACTCTGAGCTGACTCATAGCCAAGACATGATAAGGGGTGACCTTCCCCCTTCACTATGGGGGAAACTGGAAAGAACAAGCTATGACATCCTTATAATCATTGCAATTTAAATATTTAGGAAACAATATCTTCCTTTATTGGCTTTTGCTCTGCATTTGCTAAGCGGTGTGTACATTTAGTGCTAAAATGTTACAGTGCTGGTGTGGCTTACCAGAATGAACCTTGCAAGGGGAGTCATGAACTCCTGGGTTCCAACTCTGGCTCATTCTAAAACAGAAAATCCCTTAGACTAGACCGTGAGCGCCTCGGCACAGGGACTGTGCAAATGTCCTAGCATGTTATGGGCACCAATGCAATTAAATAAAAATAATAATAGGGAGTTCATTGCAGGATCAGGGCCTAATTGACTACATCCTCAATCTTGCAAACACTCAGGCTCATGCTTAACTCGAGACACTTAAATATTTCTATTGACGTCGGTTGGACAGCTCATGTGTACAAGGTCAAACACAGGAGTGTCTGTAGAAGTGTGGCCTTGCGCAAAGCACTCCACAGCTTTTCATCTATAAAATGGGGATAAAATTGACTGAACTCCACCAGGGCTCCTTCAAGGATAGGTAAAATGCGTTGAGCATGCTATGCTTTGAGCATGTGAGGTTATAAGTATTACATCAATTGTGCTATGACTTTGTCATCTGTTATGAAGTAAAAGCAAATCACAGTCCCAGCTCTGGAGCAGTCCCCTTAGTGGACTGCCCTAGAGCCAGGGACCCCAGAAATCTTGGGGGGCATCCATGACTTTGAGCCAGCTTGGCAGGCCACTGAGCTGCCAAGGAAGTGGGCTGGGTTATGTTGTACCACTGTCTAGGTTACATCAGAGCTTCACTGAAACTGAACCATCTCCACAAAACGTTTCCAATTAGACAAATCAGCAAATTCAGACAAAAATGTTTTGTCAGAATTTTTCTAATGAGAGCTAATATGGATATTGTCCCTCTTTATACTGTGGGGGAGAGGGATGGATTTTGGTATAGGACATTCACCATTTGTTACTGTAACTTACACTTGGGTTAATACCAGAAAATTGTAACCTCACACTGGAGCCAAGATCAAATGTGTCCCAATTCCAAACCTGGACTGACAAGGTTTTGCAAAAGGTAAAACACTATGATTTTTGCCAGTGTCTGGGACTAGTGAAAGGCCAGAACTGGAAACAGAAGGAGTAAAGCAGGGTAAATGCATTACTTCAGTAGACATTACCTTCAGATTATGTGGTGGATATCACAGTCGGGAGTGGCTCACAACT